TGTGGAAAGACAGAAGGGAAAAACTTGTTACATTGCTGTATATGTTTATGGTCTCTGAACTTCTGTGTTTGCATCCTTTCTGTGGCAGCAGCATCAAGCTGGCAAAGCTGGAAAGGAGGAGGATGAGAGACAGACTCCTTCCTTGGGGGTAGGAAGTTGGACAGGCTCTGTGTCTCAGAGAAAAGGGAGGAAGGAAGGAATACAAGAGATCAACAGCTCACAGCTGAAATTAAGATGTGTGGGGAGCAGTTCCTCTTGTCTGAGTCCTGGGTAGTCTCTTCCAGTGGTGGTTCCCAGCTGGCTTTGGGAAGTTCTGCTTCATGCAGGGCTTAGCTTGGCTGCCAGCAGAGATACCATGAGGAGATGGAGGTCCACGTACACATGGGTGCAGACAGTGACACACAAGCCAGGGTTAGGACTGCAAATGCCAATCCTGCATGCCTTACTGCCACTTGCAGGGAGCCAGATGACCCTTCTCCAGGGAGAAGCTACTTTGGAGTAGGTAAATTTTGGCCTGACTTGCTGCAGACATTCTTGTGGTCATAGCTTTATGTCCTATTTCTGTATTTTCTTGTGCAAAGCCTCTGTTTCCCAGTTTTTTCTGAGAAGATTCCACCCAGCTCTGCTGGGTGCTGAGACACAGACTGGCTCCCGTGAAGCCAAACTCTGCTGAAGGGGAGATCTCCTTTGCACTCTATGAGTCTGGATTTGCACAAGCCTTTAATCATCAGTGGCAGCTCAGTTGCAAGTATCTGCCTGGGCATGTCTGGGAAAAGGCAGGACTTGCTGCAGGGTCAGTCTCAGGTATTCAGCTGCCAGACTCCCTGTGGAAAGCACTTCAGGGCAGCTCAGAGGGGCTGTGAGTAGGAGAGTGGAGGTCCCAGTACTCCCCAGGATGCTATGTACAGTGTTGTTGCAGTCTCCCTTTTTATTCCAGTGTTAGGAAAATTAATCCACAAACACCAGAGGTTTATGTCCAAAAAGGAGACAAAGGAGTCCTGTAACTTTATTTGAATAAAGGGAGAGATCATGGGCATTTTTCATGGAGTCTCTCATATTGTTAGAGGGCGCAGCCTCCTTTTTATCCAGATTTCCCAGCCACATTTCCCTCTCTCTTTCCCCATTGGCTGACGTACTTGAGAGGTACAGACTTCCTGAAATGTCTAATACCTAAGACTCCCTTGTAATTTATATACCTCCTCTTTTTTTCCCTTGTGTCAAATGGAATTTCTGTGGAATATATGGTTCTTCTTTCATATCTCTGTATCTAACTTTATTTATCAGCAAACTTACAGTTTGTTTGTAAAGACAAATCTCTCATTCCATCAGTGGAATCCTTCCCATTGTTTCTTTTATCTCTCAGTACTAGTTTTATCTACCAGCAAATGCACAGTTTGTAAAGACAAATCCCTCATTCCTTTCACCAGGCTGCTCGGTACCCTTGTCCTCAGCCTTCAGCACCTGATGACCTGGAAGGCTAATCCTGCATGAGTCCCTTGTGGACATGAGCAACAGAGTCACTGGTGTAAGTCTTCTGTGGACAGCCTGGCTATTAGCAGTCAGTAAGGCTTTTTGGGAAACTTCAGGTAGTATACCCCAGGTGGATTGGGGACTGACGGGAAATCCAACATGCTGTTTGAGCTGGAAGCACTATGGCATTTGTGCCATCTCTGCACAGGGACACAGACACTTCACATCCACCAAGAAATTTCTAGGAGCATCTACAAATGCATGGGTTGGGCTGGGGCTCCTGGAGAACTGCCAAGGGCCTGAATGAGCTGAGGGAGGCTTCATAAAACCTCAAGTCTGGGCAATGGATGTAGGAAGTGGCATCAACTCTGCTTCATGCAGCATGAAGTGCATGTGTAGGAACTGCTGTAGTGATGGAGTGAGGTGGAAGGTGGTAGGGTGCCTTGGAACCCCCAGCAAGCTTTTGGGTTAAACTCTAGCACTAACTGGATGGTTTAATGATTTTCTGGGACAGCATGAGTGTTGCTGACACCTGACTATCCCTCTGCTCTGCGGGTCCTGCTCTCCTCCAGCCCTGCCACTGGGGCTCAGTCGGTCCTTTGCACTTGTAGAAGATGAACACCACCCTAAAATGAACTGTTTCCTGCCAGCTGGGTATGCAAGCACAGCTCAGTGGGTTCCAGGCTGCCAGACCTGTCCCAGGGCAGCTGGCAGGCAGGAAGAGCAGAGGCAGAGGCAGCAAGGTGCTTGCTCTTCACACAGGCAGTGTGACTAAACCACATGGTGGCACATGATATACAAGCTCTGTGGCCACCAGACCACCAGCCTCAGTGTCACAGGCACAGGTTGCTGGTGTTACTGGACTCCTGGATCATGGAGCAGGTCCAGGTAGAAATTGTCCATTTCCAGGATGATTTTTAGCCCATGCACCTCACTGGATAAACGTTCATGCCAGCAAAGAGACAGGGATGAGACTCACCTCATGATGCTGGTGATGGTTTGAAGGAACTCTGTTGTGTATGGTCAGAGCTACGCTGTGGCCCAGCCCTTTGTGCCAGGGTCTCTTCCCTTGTGCTAACAGCAACACATATGCTGATGAGCTGCTCCAACCAAAACCCAACCACATTCACTTTTGCCGGGTTAGTTTTGGAGTGTGTAACCCTGGCTGCACAACAGTTGCAGGGGATAGAAACAGGGCAGGCAAGACTGCTCATCCAAGAGCAGCCTGGGACCCCCTCAGCTCAGCTTGGAAGAGACATGATGCCAAGCGAGAGGCTGCTTCTTCAGCAAAGTGTGAATAAAGCTATTTGACTTCCTGCTAGTCCAAATCCTGTTCTCTTCTGGGACTAGAGTTACTTGCACCCCTTCTTCTCCTGGTGATTTGAAGGAGTGTTTTTAGGGCCTTAGCTTTTCATACAGATTCGTCTCAGGCTTTTGCACCCTCCAGCCTTTGCTGCTGCCTTTCCTGATCACCATACTGATTTCTTGGGCTGCATTTCTTTTTCCCAGAAATGTGTATTTTCCAGGGTTTGAGCTCTGAACCCAGAGCCTACAACCTACTAACCATCCCCTTCAGCCTACTAAGGCGTGATCTCCTCCATGCTAGTGTTTTTGGCCTCTGCTGGGAAATCATCTGTGTTTATGTTGGTTTGAGATCAGGCTGGCCACCTGCAGACCAAGGCTATTCAGACCTATGTTGGCTGTGCCAATACCCAGTGTGCTCTGTACTTCTCTGGCTGTCCTTCCTTTTATCTTGTGATGCAGCCTTTTGATGTACTAGTGGCTTCTCCAGCATTTTAATCCAAGCTGTTGCTCTTAGGGATGCTCTGCCAGCTGTCTTGTGCCTCCTCCAGAGAGACTGCTCCAAATCCTGCTTGTTATTGTGCAGGGCTCTCCCCAGTTCCCTTGTCAAAAATGCCTCGAGGCGATTCTCTGGGCTTCTTTATGGTAGGTTTGTAACCTTGAGCCAGCTTTTATTCAATGAAACATGGAGATTGAGAAGCTGTGGAGGAGGGAGTTTTGTTATGTCTAGCTTGTTGATGGATGCAGACAATGGGAGTCTGGTACAAATATGCTTCTTGTGGGGACGTGACCACCTTTCTTCTGCATCTTTCCACCAGCTTCTCACTTCTTTTTTTCTTCTGTGCTGCCATTTCTCTTTTTTGTGACATTTCTGCCATTGTTTCATGGCTACCAAGCTCTCAGGCTGTTTCACTTTCTGCTTTATAGATCTACATTGAGTTGGATTTGTGCTATCAGCTTCCAAATAGCTCATCGGGGACGTGGGTTGAAGAGGATTTTGTCTATCTTATGAAAGACAGGTATGGAAATCCTAGGAAGAGCAAATTTCCAGGCAGTTTGTACAGCTGTCTTTGTTAGTGGCAGCCTTTGGGATGCAATCCAGCCTCATTTTCTCTGCACTTCTGAACAGGGTGATGTGTCTCAACTCTACAGCAGCAATAAGGGAGCAGGGCTCTTGGATAAAGAGGTACTTTGTTATCACAATGAGCCTTTGACTGCAATGATCCACTGTAGCTGGTGGGAGTCCTGGGACTCCCTAGGAGAGCCTTGAGAGCATTTCTGCAGCCTTCCTGGCTTGTGGTTGCAAAGTTGCAGACAGCATGGTTTTGGCCTCCAGCAAGTCCATGCACCCTGCATGCTGGTACTGCCCCAAAGCCAGGGGAGTTGTAGGTTTCTGGGCAGACAGGATGACAGGCAGCATTAAGGCCTACAAAATGTCGCTTGTAGAACTAGAGGGAAAACAGCAGACACATGGGGTGGACAGTGGATAAGCTTAGGAAAAAATTGCTGGTGTCCCTGCATTTCAGCAGGGATGAAAAATCAAACCCCACAGTTCCAATGAAGATTTGTAGGGAACGGTATGTTTATTCACAGTGCTGTGGACTCATGTCAGGACTCATTGCCCTTCAATGGACATGCATACCTCTGAGAACTCCTGATCCTTTTTTATTACCCTTACTAATTTCCATATGCATAGAATTTCACAATAGGTTAAGACATAGTAATTCTAATGATTTCACATTACATTTACAGCTAGTTACACTTGTACTCAGTTTTTGTCAGAAAGTACAGAAAGAACTCCTGGGTCACTGTGCCCTGTCTGTTTCCGAGGAGTCTTTCTTATCTCTTATCTTTTAGTGTGGAAATTTGCATTCTTTCTCCTTAGCTGAGGTAGTTTTGCTAGTGCTGCAGTTACCAGACTAAACAACATATTTATCAAGCTCCAAGTAGCACATTTCACCCAAATCCAAACAGATTTCTACCCTGTTAAATTTTCACTCTGTCTCACTGCCAAGAAATAAGCAGGAGAGAGGCTGAGGAACTGTTACTTAAATGAATCAGGGAACAGCCGTGGCACACTGGTCTTTAGAGAAAAACATATTTTGTTTTTTACAGTTCAGAGTTAATCATCCACAATCCTGGATTTGAGCAGCTGGAGTAAGTAGCCCTTAAATGTCTTGGCTCACCCTTCTGGGTGGAGGGCAGCGCACAGCCCAGTTGTCTGGCTCATGGCATGGGGCAGGGCTTCCAGGATTACTGAGTGGCTGAGAGTGAAGGAACTGGACAAGAAGGCTGCTGCACTAGGCAGGAAGCTGGCAAAAGGTCTGGAGACTGATGAAGAAGAGGAAGAGGAAGAAGATTTCTATTATACATCTGAGACTGGGGCCTCGGGCACTATCTTCAGCCCTGTGAAGAGGTATCCATGTCATGCTCTTCTTTCTTGCCTTTGCTTGGGTCCTGGTGTAGAAAGTGCCATATCCTGCAGCTCATGACAGTCTGTTTTGGCCAAATGTCAGAAAACTTGCATCTCTGAAAGCAATGGGTATGTTGGGGATTTGCTCATTCCCAAGGCAATGGGCCATTATTTGTGAGGTTTTCCGTTGCTTCCCTTGGTGGGGACATACTCAGGTCCATGTTGACAAGCTGCTCACCTGGACTTTTTTCTGTGCAGCTGCTCCAGACTCTGCTCTGCACGAGACCTCTTTGCCATCCCAACGCCACAGAGTTTCCAGGTACTGCAGCACTGGGTACATGTCCCCTTAGCTGCCTCTGGCCCTACAGCCAGTCCCTTACTGCCTTGCTGAAGGCCTGAGCTTCTCCAATTGCCACATACTCTGTCAAGGCCTCTAACATGAATACCATCATGCTTTGTGTGACTTTGCTGGGCAAGATGTAATATTCCGTGAATGGACTGCATCCATGAGTGCTGGACACAGTATCACTAAGCCCATGCAGTTAGCTGTGGATAAACAGGAGAAGGGAATCAGCTACATGTGCCATTGCAAAACATTGCCTGTGCAGAGCTTCAGAGAGTACCCAGGCAGGGCTGATGCCTGCCATCTTTCCCAGGGCCTTGTCTGTCTTCCTTAGGGACAGCTGTGGAATATGACTAGGGCCAGAGAGCTATGTAGGGGCTTGCTTGGACATGCCAGGAGGCTGTTAGGAAGCTGTGGCTGTGGCTGAATAGCTCACATCAGGCTAAATTGATTTCAGGACAAGTCTCCAAGCATGGCTATGATTTTAAATCCTCTTCTGGATCTAAGTAAATGTGGGCTCACATTTGGTCCTATCAACCAAGCAGGAGGTTTTTGTGAGGGTTGAATTTCCTACCATCATTTTCTTGAGGCAATAATTCTGTACCTTAACCATGGCCTTGTACTGAGAGCAAATGTAAGAACATTTCTTGCATATCTTAGACTCATAAGCAGTTGCAGTAAATTTAAGTAATTTGTAAGCAGCTGCATTCCAGTCTTTCCAATGGTGTACATCTCAGTAGGATTCAACGGGGAGTATTAACAGAAGATACAAAAAGCATCTTTTCCAAGATGCTCTATGGACCCTGCCATGTGGGAGTAGTGGATTTTCAACCCCTTGGGATCAGAAACTGAGGGTAACAGTGCTGGTGGGAAGGTCTGCTCTTGTCAAAAGTACTGGGGCTCTTATACTTTATTTCCTTGCTTGTCTGAAAGAAACAAGTATCTCAAATACTACTTTGGTCTGTCCTGGCTGTAGCAGATTTCAGCAGCCATGCTTTTGCCTGCCCTAGGTGTTCAGGTCTGCATTGAGACTGCCCTGTACATGTGCATACTGGTATTGTTGAAACAGTCTTGGCATGGAGGTGTAAACAAGGAGAGTGCTGATTAAAATAAGGAGAGTGCTGGTTTTCTCCCATGTTTTCTCAGGTTGGGATTAATGTAATTGAAGCACAGAAGTTGGTGGGGGTGAACATCAACCCCTTTGTTGTAGTCAAGGTGGGAGAGGAAAAGAGGCACACAGCAATGCAGAAGTCAACAAACTGTCCCTTCTACAATGAAGTGTGTGACATGGACAGAGGCTGTATCCTTGCACCACCAGTGTACCAAATGCCTGGGACCATCCTTGCAAGGGACGCCTGGAAGCCTGGGGCTCAGCTGTCTTGCTTTTCTCTTCCAGTATTTTTTGTTTGACTTCTATGAGCCAAGGGACATCTTATTCCACAGACTCATAGAGATCTCGGTATATATGTCTTCCTCTTCATCTTTCACTGGTTACTGGTACAGCCTGATGATTCTGTGTGTGGACACTGTGTGCAATGGGCAAAGCAAGGGTACCAATACCACTGAGGTGTTCCAGATGTAATCACCTGCCCACAGAGAGCCACAGGGTCTTCCTGTGGCTGCACTGGGGCAGAAACCTAGCCCTGCTCTGAGCCAGTGCTGGGCAGTGTTGCCTTCCCACCTCCTTCAGATACAGGTTTTTCTTCACCTATGTGACTGCAGTGTTTTTCTTCACCTATGTGACTGCAGTGGGGCCTCTGGGGCACTTTCTTGCCTTTTGCCTTGTTGCCTGATGTTTTCTCGGCAATTCCCCACTGCCCCTTATCCTGGAGTCTCATCCTGCAGGTCCTGAAGGTCAGTGACTGGTGTGAGGGGAGCTCAGAAATTATTTGTGCTGTAGAAAAGCCCAGGGAGAGAGGTTGAAAATCCTTTGGCCCAAAGCACAAAGATTTTTCCAATACTCAGGGATGTTCTGAAGATAGCTAAACCTTTGCCAAGTGGTATCCAGCACTTTCTCTGTGAACAGCTGCATGTCTCTTCTGCTGGTGAGAGTTCAGCAAGAACTGAGTGAGACTTGAGTTTTAGGAGAGACACAAGACTGGTGGGATCATAGCTCTGCCCTAACCCAGCAGGATATGGACACAAGGACTTCCTGTGAGAAAACAGATCTGTCCCAGCTCCATTGTTGGGGTGTGGCTTACCTGGGACTGCAGAAGCTGAATTGGTTACCCATGACTGCCTCGGTCTAGGTTTGACTGAGGGCTATGGGCTGGTGGGCTTTGTGGGAGTGGTTGGTAGGAATGGGTTAGTCCTAAGGTTAACACAGATGTCAGTCTGCATGAGGAACTTGCAACCACTGCCTCAGCTGTGCTCTGGAACACCTCTTTGCAGCCCTCTGTTCCTTGGAGATAATCTGGATGTGTCACCTGGCTGCTGATACCTCATGGTGCTCAAGGGGGACTTGTGCTGTCTCCAGGTTTTTCACTCAAAGAAGAACTTGCATAGGAACATTAAAGATGGATGTTGAGAAACTTGCATGGGAACTTGCATAGGAACATTCAAGATGGATGTTGAGACAGTGTACAGCCAGCCAGGTATGAGAACTGCACCACATAACTGTGCCTGACCCTGGCTTAGTCTGAAACTGGTGTTTCCTTCATGCTCTGATGGGTCTGGTCAGAACCCTGGCTTTAAAGCACTTAATTTGCACGAAGACCAGAGATTCCTTCTCCACCCAGCTGTCTGAAAGCAGGTGACACCTCCTGCACCTACAGAGGCAGGGTCAGAGCCAGGGCACTCTTTCTGCAGATGGAGTTGGATGTGAAATGGTAACCTGGCTGCTCCCTAGGCAACTCCACATCTTCCTTCTCAGATCACAGGTTTTTCCAGAAGTGGGCAGTTAACAGTGACCCCATGGACACCCAGGCAAGTGTAAAAGGCTTTGTGAAGTGCAACATCTCTGTCTCTGCACGCGGGGATATTATGGGTTTCCTTCCCACCTATTCCAGGAACTAGGATGAGGACATCAAAAGGTAGGTGCAGTGGGATCTTGCATGGCCCTGGGGAACACAGCCATGTCTCTCGTCACACTACCTTTTTTGCCCCATTTTCCCCTCTTCTGATGGGCAAAGACCCAGTGAAAAAGACCTGTGGAGAGGCAGGATCCAATCTTCTGTCAGACAGTGAATTTCCCATCATTGTGTTCTGTGGACTCCAGGAGAGAGGCAGAACATGAATTTGTCTTTCAGGAATCTGCTGCTGCCTAAGAGATTCCCTTCAGAGAGACCCTGGGCCAGGGTCTGCATCAAACTGTATTCTGCTGAGGGCCTGTCCAGCATGAGAGCAGGCATCATGGGTGGTATCTCCAAGATCATAGGGGAGAGAAAAGTCTTTATTGACCCATATGTGCAGGTCTCATTCTGTGGGCAGCAGGTGAGTCTGAAGGGAAGCTGTGTTGGGACAGTCTGATTCTCCCTTGACTGTATGGCAGCATGTGTTGGGTTCATGGTGCCAGAATCCCACTGAAAATAGGCTGGGAGAGCCCAGGTGTTGCTGTCTTTAGCAGTGGTCTGAACTGTGTGGCCATGGTTGTGCAAGAAGGCTGTTCTCTGCTTTTTTCTCTACAGAGAGCTGCTCATAGGACAGCCCCAGCCCTGGGCACAGCTGCTGGCTGAGCTACTGGCTTTGCAGGCAGAGATTCATATCCTTAAATATAGAGATAAATCCTGGAGCAGAAGTCCTTTTCCTGTGTCAAGCTAGCCTCAGCCTGAGACCCTTGAGAAATTTACTGAGATAATGACCCAGTTTTTGCACACAAGTCCAGTGTTTCTGATCCCGTAATATCCATTAATATGAGAATCAATCCCTGATTGGCAGTCTTGTGCGCCTGGCATGCTCCAGGCAGCCCTTAGATACCTATGAATCTGCTGCTTGTTTGCATTCCCTTGATTGTGTAAGTCATACCAGGGCCTTGGGACAGCCCCCCATTAATGAAACAGAGAGGAATTGAAAGAATGGTGATAGAAGCAGGAACACTGCCACCCCCAGAGCCTGCCTGGCACTGTCTGCAGGTGGTACAAGAGTGCATGCCATTCTGAGACAAGCTCTGAGGCATCCCTTTCTCTGGGCAGCACTTCGGATGTGTGACTTTCACACCTTCTCCTTCCCAGGGGGAAACATCAGTGGAGACCAACACTACTGAGCCTGAGTGGAACGAGCAGACACTTTTGTTGAGATGTTCCCTCCGATGTCCAGGAAGATAAAAGTCCAGGTGCTGGATGATGCCAGTGTCAGAGATGTGGCCATTGCTACACACTACATTGACCTGCAGGAGATCTCGGACCCTGACAGGAAAGGTGAGGCTTGGCATGGCTGCCTTGGTGCAGGATGTCTTGGGCAGCCCTGTACCATGCACTTTCTGCTTGGCATGCTGGTCTCCTGGGGTGGGAGCAGGAGTGGCTGAAGCATGCTGACATTCTGGTGTCCTGGGCAGTTCTTTTTGGGGAGGTCTCTCTGCAGCAGCACCCTGGAGCATAATGAAACCCTGTCCCTGTCTCTGCAGGCTTTAACCCTATGTTTGGCCAAGCCTGGGTGAACCTGTATGGCTCCCCCCAGAACTCAGCTCTGTGGGATGTCCACAAAGACTTCAATGAAGGCATGGGTGAGGGCATCTTCTACCGTGGTCACATCCTTATGGCCATCACAGTGGAGATCTTCAGCAGCCCCAGTGCAGCAGAGAGGAAGCTTGGGTACAGGATGAGAGATGCTCTGGGAAAAATGAAGCTGAAGAAGAAAAGTGAAAAATCCAAGGAGAAAACTAAAGAACTGAGCCAGCTGCAGGGAGAGGGGGAAGCTGGGAGCTTTCAGGAGGCCAAGCAGCCCAGGGAGGTCACTGTGGAGGTGGGAGAGCTTCATCTACTCCCTGAGCTGAGTTCTCCTGTCCTGACATGGCTGATCCATGCCAAGTAAGTCTTCTATATCTTTCTATCCCACCTTTATTGGAGCTGTCACAGCTTCCCATTTTGATTGTTCTGGATGTTATTAGAGGTCAGCAATGCTCAGCAATGCAGCATAGGTTTCTCTTCCTTGCAATCCTGCAGCTTGCCATGGCTTAGCTGGCTGGGATTTCCTACTAGCTCTACGAGCCCTATGGTGTCTGCTTGATGTTTGCAGATGGCCAAGGATGGGGTCCCAAGGAAACAGACTTGTCAATAACAGCCATCCTTTTTTTGCTTCACAAGCAGTGTCCTAAGGGCTTGTTTACAGTGAGGAAGGAGAGGAGTACTCTTGGCATATGCTGTCCTATGTTGAGCAGGCAAGACACATACACAAGCTCTTCTGATACTTGCTCTGGGAATGCTGCCTAATTTGTCCCATAGGCCCAGGCAATGTCTTGGTGTTTGTATTGTACGGCCTGAGCCTGCTACTACTTAGTCCCATAGCAGTGAGAAATCTCGGCAGTATCCCATGCTCCTATCAGCCTCATTCGTCTGAGCATGTGCTGTTTCTCTACTAGAAACCCTGTGTGCTTGTGTGGGATGGAAAAGGGCAGATCCAGCAGGTTGCACCCATGTCCATGGTGCAGACCCCAAATCAGCCAATGAATTCCCTGTGAGGGAGACAGAGTTCAGCTTCTGCTCCCTTGCTGGATATGCAAGTGCATGTGTTACGATATGGCATATGCTTTCTGTAGCAGTAGCCGTAAACTCCTCTGCCTGCTTTCCTTAGGTCTTACAGCTACCTACCCATGACACATGAAAAACCCTGTATGTATGTATGGAGCTACTGGGAGGATCAAGCCTGGAGACTCTGCATTTCCAACCGGATTGTCAGACTGGCAGAGTGCCTGGTTGCATGTTCAGGGTGTTTGTCTGTGGCATGCTCCTTCCTCATGTGCTTTCCTTGTTGCATGTGCTGTTGCTGTGTGAGATGTTTGCTGTCCTCACCATCTGTGCAAGTCCATGTCTCTCACAGGGCTTAGTCCCACTGGCCATTTAGACAGGGCTGGGTAGGCCGCATGGACTCATGTTGTGCAACTGCCTAGTGGTGCTTCCTGGAGGAGTGATGTAATATCATGTTTGTGACAACAAGTTCCTCTGCTGCCAGTCCTGAGCTGGGTGAGCCCTGGGCAGGTGATTGAGCAAGAAGACTCTCAGCCTCAGGTTGTCATGAAGGGGATACAGACTCTCCCCAGGGTCTTGCCTTTCTCTTTTGGCTTGAAAATATGAAAGTAGAGCTTAACACAGTGTGTTAGTGGCTGCTCGAGGCCTGAGACACAAGATGTTGTAACAACAATTGTTAAGGTTATCCTCAGGCTCTGGAGAGTCCTGGGTAGCATAGTGCTGATCTACAGCACTCATGAATCCCAGCTCTGCAGAAAGGCATAAGCCATTTGTGGCAAATGCATCCTTGCAAGGTTTTACTCTGACCCCTCAGCCAGGTGCAAGCTTTGTGAATATTGTGATTTCACTACAGGAGCAGGGGTTGGATGATGTGGGGAAGCTCTTGAGAAGATCACAGGCTAAAGCAGAAGACTGGCTCAGAGAGGTGCTTGAGGAATTTGTATCTGGATGCAGGTTAGCATGTCCTTGATGTCCTGAAGATTCTTGTTTTCAGTTTAGGAGGCCATATCATGTTCTGCCTCGGCTGTGTGCGGCCTTCTCTCTTCTCCTTTTGAGGTGGATGTGCAGAAGGAAATGAGGATGACTTGGGAAAAGGACCCTCCTTGTAGCTCTTCAAGCTTGGAGAGGAGATTCCAGTCCTGTTGTAAGAATCAGAGGGGTCATAGATGACAGCCTCAGAGTTCCTGGTCTCTCATGTGTTTCCTAAATGTGAAGGACATTTTCTTCACTCTTTTCAATCACATAGTCAAAAGACCAGTGTTTCAATCCCCATGACTACCCTTTGGGGGTCGTTATGCACTTCAGTCCACAGTAGAAAGGGAGCTTTAGGTGCTGAGAATCCCCAGTGTCCCTTCTGAACCAACAGGTTTGCAAAAGAGAAGGCATTGCAGAAATGCAGCCTCCTGACACATCTGGATTGGCACCAGGGATTTGGAGCTTGTGTCTCTGCTGTGAGCTGTGCTCAACATGCTGGGTGCAGAGGATACAGAGTCTGTGCTGCTTTTCTCATTGCAGGCAATATTCACTCAGCGCAGAGAGAGAAACAATGGCTCATCCAAATAACCTGGACAGATGTCGGACAAAATACCTGATGCACAACATTGTAAGTCGTGGGGTTTGGTGGTGGTTGGTGGGAGCGTGTGCAGTCCCTGCTCTGGTGAGACTTCTGGAGGATCAGCAGAAACTGAAGCTAAGAAGGAAACCTGGAGCTAAAACTCACTGTATCACTCATAGGCTTTTACTGTAGTATCTTCCAACTTCTACTCAGGGCAATACAATTTCCAGCACAAGGAAAAGAGACGGGGTTTAGCCATGGCTTTCCCCTGTTTTGTGCAGATGCTGTACCCTGATGCCTTCCTTCATCTCCACTGGGGCATATGTAGTTGAACACATGCATATTGCTGCCTAGTAGGTTGCTGGAGGCCTTTTGGTGCACCATATTCCTGCAGGCAGTTTTGTGGTGGCTCACTGAGATCCGCTACTCCTGGAAACTCAGCCCCTTGGCTGAGTACGTATCCAGCAGGTCTACAACAGCCATTCATCTATCTGTCCTTAGAAAGGGCAACACTTGGGCACTTATCACCCTGCACACAAGACTAGCTAGTGGAATGAGAGCACAATTACGTACCCTCCATCACAGCACAGTTGTAGAGTCATAGCCCCCGTCAGACTACAAAGCTTTGAAAGATGACATAGCTGACTACATAGCTGACCAAAATGCAGTGACAGCAGCAGGAAATAAAATTTAGGCATATCTGGGTCCCAGTTCATTCCCTCTGCTTCCTTGTGTGTCGTCACCTGAGCTATGGTGAAGGTATTTTGTTAAGCCTGAGAGACTCTGGAAGAGAGAACCTGCCACGTCCCTGTCCCAGATCACTGTCCTCAGCCCCGGCTAGCTTTCCTGCGCGGCGAGTAGGGTGAGTGGAAGCACCCTCCGCTGTACCCGGCTGGGCTTTGGAGAGAGCTTTGTGGGTCCTGAGATCGCTGCTGATTCCAACGGCGAGGAAATGAGGAGAGGCACTTGTTGGGGGCAAAAATCCGATATTTATTGGGGTCCTGTGGGTCCAAAAGCACCGGAGGGGGCCAGCCAACAAATGCCACTCGGGGGTGCTGGCAACAGGTTACATAGGGAGAGGGAGGGGGCTGATCAGCCAGTGGGGAACAGACAGGAGTGACTCTGTGGGGATTGACATCTGGGGGATCCAGTGAGGGATGGACAGGGTAGGGGTCCCAGGACCTCATCCAATCACTCGGTGCCCTGGATGGAAGTTTCCAGAGGTAGGGGAAGGGGCACCGAGTGACAGACAAGGCACTTGGGAGAGGGCAGGGAACTGACTCGGCACCTTCCAGGGAAACCGACACTTGGGGAAAGGCGGGAAAACTCAGGGAGAAACCAATACAGTATGGGGGTACACTGGAACAAACCATGACAGAATAAAGATGTAATAAAACATATAAAACCACAACTCCACATCTCCCTCTTTTTTTTGTTTAAAAGGAAAGGGAAGAGAGAAGTAAAAATAACTTTTATAATACTAAAGCTAATGACAAATACAACAAAGGCTAACAAAAGTAAAAGTCCAGTTTGAACCAGGGATTGGATCCAACCAGAGTCCCCATCCTTCGAAAAGAGACCCCAGCCAGTCTGATGAGTCTTTCTTGAGATGTGTTATCATATTTTGCATTTTGTCTATGGTGGCATGGGTGTCCTCTGCCTTAGAACTTAGATTCATACAGCATTTGGCCAACGTAGTCCACACGTTAACCTGAGGCTGAGGAATAATCCATGCCTGCTGGAGTCTTACGTTGATCGTGATGGTGAGAAGGATGTGGCTCAGTGTGCGTGACATCCTGGGTTGGATCTAAACTGGGACAAAATCTGAAAAATAACTTGAAGATACACTAACAATCAGGGTAGGGGAGGTCCAGCTCAAAAGGGAACAAAGAACCAAGGGAACTGGAAAGGGAAGAGGTAGACCCAAAAAGGGAAGATTTTTTGCGCCTTCTGAAGGCAGCATGTCCCACCTGAGGACCCTCCGGTTTGGCTTGGACTTTGGGGACATACGGCCTGACAAATTTGGAGGGGATCCATCTCAGGCCTGAGGGCATGGATACACAAGCATATCCCCGTCCCCAGGTGACTAAGTCATAGGGCCCCTCCTGCCGCCAGGTCTCAGGATCTTTAATGAGGACCGGTGGCTTTTCCCTGACCTTGTCCCTGACCTTGTCCTGCTCGTGGTTGTTAAAGTGGCAAGTGATTGGTGGATTTAAACATTCAAAAGAGCAGTTAAGAAAGTTAATGGTAAAGAGGGCCCGTGCTAATTGAACCTGGGGGACTCTACCTTCATTATCGGCTGTTGTTTTAACATCCGTTTAAGACTGTCCTGGTTTGTAAGATAAGCTTGTATTCTATTTGCCATCTGTTGGAGGTTGGGCAGGTTTGTTATCTCTTCCAAGAACAATGGTTTTCTCCAAAGAGGTAATCATTTGTTAATGGGCCATTGACTGACTCACTGCAGGCCTGGTAACGTAACACCATCCCACTGTGAAATGCTCCACCCAGAGGGGGAAGCCAAGCAGTCTTTTATTGTATAAAGGGGTACCTTTTGGGAGACAGAGCAGCTCTCTCTCTCTTTGTGGGATTCCCAGAGAAGCAGCTCCTTCGGCGAGATTCCCAGAGAAACGGCCGGAGCGCGGTGAGGCGGCGGCGGCGGAGCTTGGAGGCGGCCCTGGCGCAGAGGAAGACTGACCCAACTGCCACCAGATCTTCAGAGAAAACTATACCCTTCTAAAGATCACCACTTCAGCTGCAATTCAACAGCCACTGCAAGAGGAGCAGCTGTCATTTCAACCGGACTACTATCAACACCCCGACTCCTCAGGGTGTCAGGTTGTGGACTTCATCACTAGTTTTGTTTGTACCAATTGCATTTGCCTTTTTAAATTGTTATTTAGTTTCTCCTAGTAAAGAATTGTTACTCCCATTCCCATATCTTTGCCTGAGAGCCTTTTAATTTAAAAATCCTGGTAATTCAGAGGGAGGGGGTTTACCTTCTCCATTGCACAGGAGGCTTTTGCCCTCCTTCACAGACTCCTGTCTTGTCAAACCAAGACAAAGACTCTGGTGAGTCCTCTCCACCACGGCCTGGCCTGATGGGGAATAGGCGATGCCAGTCTTGTGCTCTATTCCCCATTGCTGTAGGAAGCTGGCGAACTCCTTGGAGGTGTAACCTGGGGCATTATCTGTTTTGATTAATTTGGGACGCCCAGCATAGAGAAAGCCTGTATCAGATGTTTTTCGATATCTGAGGCTTTCTCCCCTGTGTGGGCAGAGGTGAAAACTGCCCCAGAGAAGGTGTCAACAGATACATGGACGTACTTCATCCTCCCAAACGAATGGATGTGAGTAATGTCCATCTGCCACACCTCACAGGACTTCAGACCCCTAGGGTTGGCCCCTGCGCTCACCGATGGCAGGGGGAGCGACTTACAGGATGGGCATGTGGCCACAATGGCCCAAGCCTGGTCTCGGGTAAGGTGGAACTGTCTTACCAGACCTGGCGCATTTTGATGGTAGAGCTGGTGGCTTATTTTAGCCTGTTGGAATTTATCAAGGAGCGGCGCCATTTGCACGGGGGCGGCAGTGAGGGAATCGGCCCACCTATTGCCCTCGGCCAAGAACCCCGGCAGGTCAGTATGTGACCTGATGTGCATCACATAGAACGGTTGCTCCCGGTGGGAGACCAACTTAATTAATTTTGAGAGCAACCTATTCAAGGCATCGTTGGAAACACCTTGCAGGATTGCATCCTGCGCTCTAGACACTACACCTGCTACATAAGCCGAATCGATGACCAAATTAAAGAGTTCAGAGAACCGCTCGAACGCTCTAACGACGGCGGCCAACTCAGATATCTGAGGGGAGCCTTCCACCTCAACAACATCTGCCTCCCACCGCTGAGTTTGAGGATCTTTCCAAGTCACCACAGACTTGTGGGACCCTCCAGATGCATCAGTAAAAACTGTTAGGGCTTTCAAGGGTTTCTTGCTCTGAATTCGCTTTGTTGATAGTGTGAATTGAATCTCTGAATTAAAAATTTTGTGGGCCGGTCTCAAAACTGAAATTTTGCATGTGTAGCTATCTAGAGCAAATTGTAATGATTCATTTTCCTGTAACAGGTGTTCCAACATAGCCTTTGTGAATTGGCCTGATTCTAATTTAATGGGAACATGAATGCATTCAAAGTCACATCCTGCCAACTCCCGAATCCGCGCTCTAGCCTTGCGGATTAGATCTGCCACCAGCTCTTGTGGTCTTGTCATTCTCTTGGACCGGTGGTGACTTAGGAAAACCCACTCTATGATGGAGAGTGGGTCCCTTCGGTCCTGGTTACCCTTCCCTAGGGTGTCTGTCCACTGAAAGATAACACCATGGAGGTGTGGCAGTCTGCCCAATATGATGAATTTGAAGGGCAGACCTGGATCGTACCTGTGGGCCTGCCTGGCAGATATTGTCTCCTGAACCCTCTCTAACGCAGCCTTGGCCTCTGTGGTGAGTTCCCTGGGAGAACTAGGCTCTTCCCCCCCTTTCAATAAATCAAAAAGAGGGGCTAGGTCTTCGTTGGTGATACCTAACCAGGGTCTCACCCAGTTCACGGATCCACACAGCTGCTGAACATCAGCTAGGGTCCGAATGTTATTTTTGATTGCCAATTTTTGTGGAACAATGGTCCGCTTTTTTATTTCCAAACCAAGGCACCTCCAAGGTGGCATCTGTTGAATTTTATCTGATCGCAGCTCGAACCCCACAGCAACTAACGCATCAGTTGTCAGGTTAAGCGCGTGTGTAAGTAAATCGCTGTTGGGGTCACAAATGAGTATGTCATCCATGTAATGTTGTATTATCACGTCCTCGGTGGCTGCACGCACAGGGGACAGCAATGAAGAAACGTACCACTGGCAGATAATAGGGCTGTTTTTCATGCCTTGTGGTAGACATCTCCAGTGATATCTCTTCATTGGGGTTTCTTGGTTGGTGGAAGGAACCGAGAAGGCAAAATGTGGCGTGTCTTCAGGATGTAGAGGAATTTGGAAAAAACAATTTTTTATATCAATGACTGCCAATTCCCAATTTTCAGGTAACATTGTGGGGGACGGCATCCCTGGCTGGAGAGGACCCATGTCTTTAATGACTTTATTTATTGCACGAAGGTCGTGAAGGAGGCGCCACTCGTCTTTGCCAGGTTTCTTGAGACCAAAGACGGGGGAATTCCAGGGAGATGTTGTTTCCTGGATGTTCCCCTGAGCGAGCTGCTCATCCACAAGCTCCCGGAGCGCTTTTAATTTTTGTTTGTTGAGCGGCCACTGCTCTACCCAGATTGGTATATCTGTAAGCCAATCTAACTTCTGAGTAGGACGCTCCTCAGTGGCCGCTACCCGAAAAACCTGGGGGATCGGTATGTCAATTGTGACCCCCCACTGGGCCATTAGGTCCCTCCCCCACAAGGGTTCCGTATAGTCCAATACAAATGGACGCAAAAATAAGCTGATTGTTCGTTTGGCCCCTCAAATTTTACGATGCTCTTTGATTGTTTGGCCAATTGAGAACCCCCTACACCCTGAATCTGTCCTGCCACATCCTGCAATTCCCATTGTGATGGCCAGTCCCGCGAGCGGATGACTGTCACGTCTGCCCCTGTGTCGAGAAGTCCATTGAGATATATGTGCTCCCCGCCTTTCCACATGTAGCATGAAATTTTAGGTCTTTCCTTCCCCAGTATCTGGGCCTGACACACCTGGTAGATTTTGTCGGGTGTCTGCTTCCATATGTCTTCGGGGAAAACTGGAGGCCCAGATACAGGAATGGCTTGGGCGATGATTTGGCCCTTGGGGAGGAAGACTGGCGGGTGAGCACAGTGCAGCCACAAGACCAAGTGTTTAGGATGTGCAGATGTCAGACTTGGTGCAATGGTGATGTCGAGTGCCGTGAACTTTGTGTCCCCAAGAACGATACACTTACTGTGGAGGTTCCTCCAGGTTCCAGAGTCCTTGGTGTCAACAGTAATAAGGTGCCAATCTGTATCCTTCAGATGTAAAGGTTCAGTCAGGGCCAACCTATAAGGAGAGAAATTGGATTTAGTATTAAGAATGGGCCTGGGGTGGTCAGGATCCCGGCCAAGCCAGGCTTTTGAAATGAAATTCACATCCTCCCCCATATAGGCTGGTTTGTCAGCCGTAGTCAAATCCGATAGGGTGTAGTTTCTAGTGGTGATGTTTTTGTCCCTCCCCTCCTCGGATGTTGATTGTCCCACCATATTTATTTCTGTGCGCAGGGAGAGACTGCGCTGGTCTATTAGTTTTTTTGCTTCCCCCCTGGGTTGGGGGCACCTCGCCCTTGCTGCTGCTGTCGGAATTTTAAAAAGTTGTCCCTCAATGGGCATTGTGGAGCCCAATGGCCTCTTTTATTACAAAGATTGCAGGGTCTATCTGAATTAAATCCTCTTGGAGGTGACCTTGGAAAGCAGCGTTTGGGAGCAGGAGTAGTTGATGGGGTGACGGCTTCAGCGAAGGAGACTCTCCTGGATGGTTCTCGGGGAGTCCCCTGCGAGTCTCTGGGTGGGATGGTCACCTTGCGGGAGCAGACGTCCAGCATGCTTTGTAATGTAGGCTCCGGATCGAGAGGGAGACTCAAGATGGCTTGCCTGCATGCCTCGTTGGCATTTTGCCTGGCAACCTCGGTGATCATGCCTCTCCTGAGGCCCTCGTCCGGAACCTGTGCCTCAATGGCTCGGCATAGACAATCCACAAAACTCACAAATGACTCTAATGGTTCCTGCTTTATAGATAAATAGTTAATAGTTGGGCCGGCAGGCCTTAGTTTAAAAAAGGCCTTCTCCGCTGCCTT